AGCAACCTTTTGCTTTCCCCCATGGCCAGTATTTGTGATTGATTTTAACCCAGCTAYACACAAACAGAACAAATGGCGAGATGGGCTTTAAGGCCATTTTCATAACTGGGTGATGCATGGTCACTTGTCACCCCTTCTGTTATGGATAACTCTGAAAATAGACCTCTGACATAAATACATATTGCTGAAGCCATTTTTAAGATTTATTCAACTTTTTGAATATACAAATGAAACATAAAATAAAGACTTTTTAAAGCCCTATGCACCAAGGACTTAAATGAATCCACTGTTAGTCTTWCCACTTTTTAGCTACAGGCTCATTTCTTCCCATAATTCATGCCCAAAACTCTTCTGTAGTCAAGTGCCTGGAGAGTTCATGTGATTAGTCCTCAGCTAGGTTTGCTCCTACAAACTGAGCAGCAGATAAAAGTCTCTCTAAGCTCTGAAAGATTCTGATTCTAGGCTAAGTTCTTGATTTGAAAGAAATATCATTGCTTAGCAGGTAGATTTCTTTGTAACAAGGGGAAATGAATATTTGTAAATATAAGTATTTKCTGTAAGTAGCGCAGTTTCCCAGTTCAGAGCCAGCAGTTACACATTTAATGACCCATTAGTGGCCATGGATAATAAGGAGAGCAGCGTAAATCAGTCATCACAAAGCTGGTTGCAGAGATGAGCAGGTTATCGCTAGATTTATTTAACCCAAGTTAAGGCATTAATTCTTAGCATGCAGCACATGAAAGAGAGCTGTGATGAGCCTTGTCAAGAAGGGTCTCCTATTGTGGGAAGAGAGCCAGAAAAGCTTAACTCTTCAAGTTTTTAATGTTGCCTGCATTGCAAAAGCTTTTAGCTAAAAGGAGATTAGGACTTTTTTCTTTTTTTTTAAGAATGGTTTTTATAAAGATACTTGCATGCCACATAAGTGAGGGGGGTTTTATAAGATTTTATGCACATATTTTTATGAGGTGGCCACAGAGTAATGCAGAATTCTGCATTCTTTGAGTGCACCTACACGAGGGTTTTAGTTATGATCGAGAATCGAGATTTGAATCAAATTCTCCTGGTCATTCCCACTTCTTGCACTGTGGTTCATATCCAGAAGTGGAATTGGATTGGGCACCCCAAGTTCCTAAAAAATTGAAGGCATTCAATATTTTAAACATTCTCAATTGACAGTGATTTTGTAAAAAGTGTATATACTGATTTCTCAATTTGAATGGTATCTCTTGAATTTTGGGGTTTTTCCCATTTCAGTTCTCTGTAACTGMGATTTTGCTTTGCAGTTTTTGTCATTGAATTGCTATTCTTGATCCTCTAAACCAATGAAAGATCCAAGTTTAAAAAGCAGYTAATGTACACAAACTTTAATGAAAAATTGCTTGATTATAGTTTATTGTTTGAAAGAGCCATAGATTAATGATTCTGTAGGATACACACTGATATGAAAAGCTAAGCACACTTCTGGAACCCTCTTTTCCAGTATTAATAAATGATAAGGTCTAACTGCAGCTTTTATTTTGCTTCCCAGTGTGTCAAGAATGCAAAAATAAGTAGTGAATGTCATTTGTCTCAGAACTTCAGTGAATTCTGCATTCCCTCCATTATCTGTTTGCATTAAGGCACCAAACCTTTGCTTCTTGATACACTATTCATGAAACTATCAAAATTACAATCCTGATTCTTACATGCTTTTTATCCAGTGCTTTTGGGTACTTGTTCCTACCCATGCAGAAAAATTTGTAGCTCTAAGTTAGGATTTACACCAGTTGAGACTGGTTTTGAGATTGCTCTTAGTATTAAAAGCTGAAAATCCACTGATGGCTTTGTTTGTTTGGGTTTTTTAAATTATTTTTTTTATTCAATTTTATTTCAAAACTGATGATTGTGCTTAATTTTATGAACTTKCTAATCAAATAAATTGGAAAATATGAATCTTTTGTGTACAGGAGAAGATAGATATGGCACACATATTCTCATTAAAACAGATGTGAGGAAAAAATGATAGAAGAAGACATTTATTAATTGTAGCTGTTGAAGGTGAAGTGGACTGTGACAATAATCTGGACCACTCAATAATTTTTTCACCAAATCTATAATTTTTAAAAATTAGTTTGAATATAATTAGYCATATCTTCTAGAAAGTATCTAAGACTTGATATGAAACCTTCAAATCATCCAGAAATGATGAGTTACTGAAAAATATGTCCCATATTTGCAGTGTAACTTCATCCTCTGCTTCTGTATCTAGATTTTTTTTTTCTTACAGAAAGGAGCTGTCTCATTTTCTCTGTGTTAGTTAATAATGATCCGAAAATCATTTCATGTTTTCTGAGGGWTCAGTTAGGTCGAGTCTCTTGTTTCTCACTGCCAGGTTTATTTTCCAATAATTTTCTAGCTGTTTCCTGATCTGGTTACAGTCTTTCAAATATTCACAAGAGTGTGACATGAGCACCAGATGTGTAACTCTCCTAATGGTCCCATGCTACTGTGTGGAGGCACAGAAAACATTTTGGGTTTTCTTTCTTGAATTTGTCTTGGTGAATTCAACATTGTGTCACGTGTTCCTGTCCACCATGACCTGTAAAGATCTTTGTGATGTCATTGATTTCAGATACAGTTCCCTTCTTTCTCAGCCTGCTCTGGATGTTTTTCCAGTTGTGATGGTGGATTCATAATTTCAGGCACTTGTGTGTGTGTCTGATAAGTTTAATTCAGATAATTCCAAATCTGTTCACTTTTCCAAGAAGACTTTCAGGGAAGCCTTTCTTTCAGATCATGGGGATATGGGACAAGTTTGGGATGAGAAAGATGTCTATGGGTCCCCTTTTTTCTGCAGCAAACATTCGTTCTGTGCAGAGCTAATTTTTCTGACATGGTGTCATGTGGCACATAATCAAATGCCTTACAGAAATCTCAGCGTTTTATTTGGAAGCACTTACATTATCRAAAAGAGTCTCTGTGTAATTGGAAAAGATAGAAAGTTATTTTGACAGGACGGGTACTCAGTAAAGCCATGTTGATTGGCGTTAACTGAKCTCCAGCTTTTTAATTTATTGCTTTTTGTATATCAGGATCAGTGTCAAACGATATAGTCTTTAATTTCCCATAAAACTCTTTACAAATATTTGACAATATTTGATTTTTCAACTCTTCTAGAATTCTGCCAAAAAAAGAGATCACACGAATAATTGAAGGAAAACTGAAGGTCTGCTGTTTGAAGAATTGCAATACTCTAAACAGCAAACCAGCTGTGTGTAGTTAGGGGAGGAGTCATTTGGACAACTATTGACTTGTCCATTTTGTTGATTTCTTGCTGTTTTTAAGGATATCACCAAAGATTAACTTAATGCATTCTGTTAGTGAAATAGGATCAAACTGCTCAGTGGAAAAGAAATCCTTCATTCTTTCTTCAACCTTTACTCTGGCAGAACTCTTGTCAACTTGAAAGTCAGTTCAATTAGTGTTAGTGGGCCTGACCAAGAGTAGAATTCAGAGGGAGTAACTTGTGTTTTCACACAAGTGAGGGAAACCCAACTTGTTGGAAGTTTTACAGAACCTGTCCTTTTGTTTCAAAATAAATAAGGATATTCTGGCCTTACTGTGCCTTCCTTTGTGGTGTATTTGTGCAGACCTTATACCTCAGCTGTGTTCCAAATTAACTGTAAAAAATTCACCCACATTTCTTCTGTGTTAAATGATAGCTGAGTTTGTAGTGGACTGTCAGATTTCTTTACTTAATTCAGCAACATGCRAGACATCTATCTGAACATCTGGTTTTTAATAACAGTTGACATCTGGGAGCTCTTTTTTATTCCAAGAATGGGGTAGGAACAGTAGTGATACTGGCAGTGTATATTTTCAGGCTAAAGTTCTTGTCCATTTCAATCACAATTAATTRCCATTCATTTTATTTAGTTTCTAGATTTTAATTAAGTGCCAGCAATATGTTGCACCAGCTAACTTTCAAGGTTTTGAAATTATATAATTTTTTTCAATGTTTCTAAGACATTAATGGCTGAATTTTAAGGATATCTAAAATGATATGAYGGTGAAATGCTGAGTTGGATGAAAAACACTGTTCTAGAAGCTGATTTTTCACATCATTTGGCACAGTAGAACTATAAGTAGAAATAGCTGAGCACATGCACAATTCTGTTTGTGTATAGATAGAGTCATTGTAAAATTGTAATCTTAGTTAATGTATATGGGGAAGCACATTTCAGTCTCCTGGTTGAATTCATGYTTTTMATTTTGTTTTTATTTTATTAAAATTAAGATTTATTTTTGTTGTTAACAGCAAGTTTATAATAAATGTGAAGAAASACTTTCTTCCTTTAAATTATCTACCATAAATTAATCACTTCGAAAAACAAATCCAAGAAATTTTAATGAATTTTTCATAATACTATTTATCAATAAAACTCTAAATCAATAAACTTAATGGTTCAAAACTGGAAAAAAGGGGAAGAACTATTTAATAGTATCAAAAAACGTGCAATGTTTAAAATTGGTTGAAAAGAKAGATTTAATTAGAGCATGTTGGAARAGCKCACTTTGCTAATGATACATTTTTTTGGTTATTCAGCAGTTTTGGATCTTTTAACAGAATGTAAGACAATTTGATTAATTTTTTTGCTTACTTAAACTTTTGATCTTTCCTTTGCTGTCAATGTTGGTTTGAATTGCGTGCAATTAAAATATAGATAATCTTTTAATATTTAATCTTATAATCATCTTCCTACACACTGTTTTAACTGGGAGGGAAAAAGCTTTTACGTCACTGTTGTTGTTTTTTTTGGTTGCTATAGATGCAGATTCTTGTATATGTAACACAAACCTGTTCAGTTGTGTTCACTGGCTTATATTTAAAAAAAAAAAAATCATGTTTTTAACAGCCAAGAAAATTTTTATATGCACCAAAGTAACTAACCTTTCATTATTTCTCTCTTTCACTCCAATGCCAACACTTCCCTGTGCATCTCCTAATGCCTGGCACGCAGGATGATGAGGAGGGTATATGGGCATAGCCGTTCCTATAAACCAAAGTTCCAGTTTTGTTTTGAGGGGTGAGAAACTCTCTTTTCTATCTTTTTCAAGTTGCAGTCTAATTGTTGTGCTTTAATTTACACTCCATGGAGTTGTGTGTTTCTTGACAAGTSTGTTTGTGAATGCTCTAAGGGTATTTTCTCATATGCAGTGAAAAATGAGAACCTGTGTCTAATGGTTTAATGGTCKWGTGATTTAGTTATTTTCATAACTTWCTGTGGCTAAYRATTTAGGTGKGTACAACACTTTAAAAGAAGTCTATTTGTATCTCTTTGTTTCTGTCTAAACAATGTTTTTTTTTCAATAGGTACAAAGTTCTTTAAAGTAGTATTAATTTGCTATATCATCTTGAAAATCCCTGTACAAGCACTGTAATATCTTTGCAAATGTGTATGAAAGTTTGATACTTTGTGCCACAGATTAAGCATAAGCATGCAGATTTACTGGAATAGAATTTATGACATGCATGGAAAAATATGAGTCTACCTTTCAAGCTGAAATGTTTTAGTGAAATTTTCAAATAAGCAGATGTTTAATAAGGAAAGTATAATTTCTGTGTGGCACAATATTGCCTGGAATATTATGATGGAATAACAGCCATACAATAATTTGCTTGTGATATTCAAGAGTACAAAGTACAGCTTAAATTGTTTGTTTCTCAAATGATGAGTAAATACTGTCTTGTCCTCGTGTGTCAGGTGTTGATTGATGCACATCCACTTGTTTGTTGTTTGCCTTTGAGGCTGTGGGTGATTTGTAGCTCAAGATCACCGTGCTCTCAACATTGCTGACATCAGGCTCTGGTGGTTCGCCCCTAGAAAATGTTGCTCACTGCTCCTTACAGGAAAAWTTTTATTTATTTTTTTAAATTTTATTTACTACATTGGGCCCATTCAGAGGAGCAAATACTCACATAAGTAAAGATTAATGTCTTATTAAAGCTTCCCCACATTATATTGCTTTTGGCATTTTACTGTTTTTCCTCTCCCACTCTCTCCTGGTTTTCATAACAGGCAGTATGGCTGAGGAAGAAAATCTCTCAGTCAACTGATCATATATTAAAACACAACATTAATAAAATGAAATTGGGTGTGTATCTGTCTTATTTAGAAAAGCTTCAGTGTATTTGTTTTGTTACTGCAGGCATCTATCAACAGCTAATTGTAAATATGAAGAGACCCAATGAGAATGAACATGAGGAATATATTTTATGTTGGAGAGGAAAATAGAAACAATTAAATTTTAAGAATATTTCAAGTGCAAGAATGTGGGTTTCTGGAAAAAAATCTTTACCTTACAGTTTTTTACTTTGCATATTTGTCATTATTTGTAGTTACATATTTTAAACTGTTTAAACTACAAGTGCATTTCCATTGCAACATGGAATATGTYTGTGAATCAAAGCATATTTATGCCCTTTTAGAGTCTCAAAACCATATTTGATTTGGTTTAAGAAAACTTGTGCACAAAGGGTACAATGATTTTGAAAGCTGACTAATGAGACTAAGGGAATATTGATTTAGCATTTATTACTGCAGTATAAAATGGATTACATGCTTTTGAATTGGAGTTGATCCTTCCTTAAGAGGATTTTTTTCCTAYGAAACAAAAAGCCTCTGATGTACCAAAACATTTAGCTTCTGAACTTGTTTTGTTCCAACACTGATTTTTATGATTGATTTATGCAATCAAAGCTTTTCCAGAGGCCATGAGGTGGGACTGCCTCAGTAAAGATAGCACAGGCTGGTCCTCTAATTATGTTTAAAAAGGAGTAAGTTGAAAATAAGTGAAATCCCTTTAAACTTTACCTCTTCAGTGCTCAAGTGCTACACAGGAGTGACATGAAATGTTGGTGGAGATGCAGAGTGGCAGGATGAGAAGGTGTTGTAAGGTTGTGGAGGGCTGGTTACTCATTGAGGAGCAGGCAAGGTGCTCAGGGAAATCTCACTGGCCAGCAATTGAGGAGCAAATGGGGCTGCATTGCTTGAGTCTCGTTAGAAACAGGATCTCTTCCCCTAACCTCACCCTTACAGAGAGAAAAAAAAAATTAAAATCATGAGGTGATGATAGGTTTTAAGAATTAAACCTGTGCAGCAATCTGTCATGGGAAACAGAAGCTGTGTGACCCTCAAAATGCATTTAGTGGAGCTGAGGAGAGCAGGTAGAACACAATGCTTGTTTTCCCTTTCCAGCTCCAACCACTGAAGTGCAGCAGACACTGGAAAAACTGTTCTGGCTCTGCCACAAGCAGCCCATGTGTGTGAGAGAGAGCTCAGCACAAAACCTGTTTGTGCAGTATTTGGTCTCTGTTTCAGAAGTGAAGTGGATCGGATGTTTTAAGAGTGTTTGGTTGGATTTATTGTCTGTTCATCCTCGGAGCAGGGCTGCCTTCACACGAGGCACAGAGAGCCTGGAGCTGTGCCTGGCAGCAGCTGATGCCTGGTGCTTTTGAAAATACAATCATAAAGCTAGTCTGCTAAATTTGGATTTAGGAGCAGCCCATAAAAGCTGTAAATTTCAAATCTGGCCTCAGTAGATACTGTGGAGGCATTCTTCAGGAGGCATCAGTGCCCTTCAGGAAAAAAATCCTTCAAAGCAGAAATTGTCTACAACATGGATGAAAGAATATAGCTCAGGCAAATATTCATTGCTCACTTCTAACTATTGGATGTGTTGCAYATGCTTCAGGAGGAGGAGGAGAAGGCTGCTGCAAAACAAATGTGGTGCCTAGATTTGTCTTTGCTGAGATGTGGTGAACAGCTCTCTTTCAAGTTGTTCTTGCCAGCAGCAGCATAAGGCACAACAAAATTTGTCATGTTGCTATATAAGGATATGTTTAAAAACTAATTATTGGCTGTTGTTCTGCTTTTTGTTTTCATTATTTYAAGCTATGATTTTTGTAAATAATTTATTTTTCTTTTTGTTTGGGTATTGTGTGTAGCCTGTTTTGGAAAAAATTGTTAACTTTGAAATGAGCATCAGTAGCATGCAAGGCAATGGGAAAATAAGGAGCATGACWGTTTGCAGTGTTCATTTTAATTTTCTCATAGTGGGTGTGAATACCAGCTCTATGCTTAATTAGATAAATGGGTGTTGCTACATTGACTGGAGCCCAAGGGCATTTTTGATTTGTGAATTTTTAGGCATCATTGCTGTTTTACTGTAACTTAGTTTTTACTGAACAAAAGGAGGAACCTCCCAAGCAATGTTTGTTTTGCAAACTATGGACAGATTTGTGACTACTCTTTATTCCTRTTAAAATACTTCTATTCTTAATGCAAGACATTTATAGCTTTTATTTTTATTGGGATGTTTTATATTAGTTAAAAAGTTACCTTTCTTTTCTTCTTAAAGATTTCCTTACTGCTTCTAGTGTTTTTAGCTATTGTCTGCTGCTGAAGACAAAAGTTTTCATTAAAAATAGGCATTTGTTTAGCTGTATTTGGTTATTTTTTATTGATTGTATACTGGAAATATGTCAATCACCTGAGAACTAAGGCTGGAAGTTGAACTCTGGGTTCAGTAGAMTTAATGAAAGCCCTGTTATTTCTTTCAGTGCTGTTCAGTTTTCACTCAGAGCAGTTCCTTCCTTTTCGTTGTTCATATTCATAGTGGAAAAACACCTGTGCACATAGACAAGTGTATTCTCAATATTATTTGTAGGAACTAGATGTTCTTTGGCTGGCATTTATTTCATCTTAAGCATGGTGTTTATGAGACACCAGATCACCCTCACTGAGTCTAGCTGTAGAAATGTGTTTTACAAATTCAATAGTTTTTTGTCTGTCATTTGTATTTTAGCTGTGTGAGTGTGGCCATTCTGCCTGAACTTTGGCCTCAGCTTTTTCACTGCAGGTGCAGAAGGTGTGCAGAAAATACAAAAATGTATCTGATTCACTGAACTTTAAACCTTTGATGTGGTCAGTCTGGAGGCAACAATCACAGGCCCTACCATGTTCATCAGCTGTGTTCTTTTATAATCTTCTGCAGTAAAAATAAATAACATACCAGAGCAATTTTAAACACTGTAGAAAGTGAGAAAAGGCTGTATGTGTTTTCACAGCTTTCATCTTTGTTTTGAAATCCTATAGTTGCTGTAAACTGGAGTAGTTAATCAGTGATTTCACAGAGTAATCAAATAATCTAGCTGTTGTTTAAAATCTGAAGCTGAGCTGACATCTTGAAGAAAAGTAGCAAAGATCTGCTCTAAAGATATGAATTCAGTTATGAATTGCATTGTGTTGGATTTCACTTCTACAAATTATCATGTAAATGTGTGAAATTGCTATGGTTTGCCTTGAAAAYAGTTTCAAAGAGTTGTTTGTGAATATTAGGGTGTGTGAATATGGGACTGCCTGGTTGGAAGGTCTTGGTTTGTTTGGAAGCAGAAGTATCTTCTTAACAAAGGTCATATGACATAAACTTTTGAAGGTTAAGATTTTACAATTGAATACTAAAGATGAAAAAAACCCAATTTCGAATAAATGAGATTTATATAATTTTTTCTGGGAAGTTGATAAAAAAACTACRAAAGAAAATGTTCATCAAAGTACAGAAAATATATACCTAATTAAAATCCTCCAATTTTCAATATTCTACTAGAAATAAGAAAAAAAGTAAAAAAACCTACTTGTGCTGACCTACTTAACATCAATGAAATACCAGTTGTCATTGCCTTTGTCTCTTGATTTCCTCAAGGAAAACCTCTGGCAGGTGATGACGGCTGCCAGAGATATCCAGTGCTGCCAGGCACAAGCCTGGAGCCASTTTGGAGTCACATCCCTGTCTCTTGTGCTTTCTGCTCTTGGCACTGCTTTCTAAAGCASSTTTTCAGGTCACMCACCTTCAATAAAGGCAATAATTCTTCGGGGAGTGGTGGCAGGAGCTCAGGCTGAGCTGAGGGAGGTGTAGGTGCAAAGAAATGAATGCACAAAAGCATTKGGCTGCTGCAGCAGGTGTCCTTGCATACTCCTTTCCTTTTTCTGACAGAGTAAAGGCATTGGGCAGGATGTGTCTTGAG